TATGAACGTCAACCCTGCAGGTAGAAGGACTAAATCAAGTAAGTGTGGTTTTTGAAGAGAATTTATTTAAGCCCTTAAAATTAAGATAATCGACTTATATACTTAGTTCTTAAAATAAAAGACTAAGGAAGCTGGGGAGTGAAGGCAGCAAAGATACTGTAATAACTTTTTAATAAAACACAACACTAGTTGTGTCAAGCTAGGTGTTTTCTCCGTTATGGACAGAACTTATACCCAGACCTGGATGAGGGGGAAGAGACAGCGCCTTTCAGCTCATTAGAATTTGAGGAGGGTTTCATGTGCGTTTCCTTAGCTACAGTAAATTGGGGCCTAAGCTGTAATTGTCAGGTTTCTGATTTTTAATTCTAGTGCTGTAAATGCCCTTGCACTTAACTGTTTCTCACTTAACATTCCTAGCTACTGTGTAGTACCATTTATGCTGTCGGAATCCTGATGGTAATATAATGCTAATATCCTGTGTTGCCAGGTACTACCAGAGAAACGAAGCTTAAAACTTCTGAAGAATCAGAGTATTAATGTCAACTGGTACATGTATTGTCCAGAGAGTTCTGTTATTCTTCTGTCGACCACTGTCCTTGGCAATGTCCTGCAGCCATTCTATTTCAAGGTAAAGGTATATGTTCCAAACTTCATTTTGTGTGTTTCTGTTTTTTTAGGCAGCTTCTTCAATCAAATATTCTATTGCTTTTCCTGGATTTCTTTGAAGAGGTGCATGTGTTCACAACTTTATATAACAATAAGCGAAGGACAAAGCAAAAATGTGTAAGGTAGTTCATAGGTGAGGGATTCACTCTTTCTTATGTCCTCTTTGGAAAGAGGTATGTCTAGCTAATGTTGTACAGTTGACCTTGAGAAAGGGGGGGGGAAAAAAATCAGTGACCCAGTATTTGACAACTTTCAAGAGATCTTTTTTTCACTTAAATTACTTACTTTTACTGTGGGGATTTGCACTCTGTAACATGGTAATAAAGAAAAATTAAGGGCCTTTCAGTTGTGATTATAACGACAATTTTCCAAATGTGAGTGGATGAATTTAAAAAAGAAAGAAAAAAGGTAGCGCCTAAGAAAAAACTTTTGTCCCAAGCATGAGAGGGCCTTGTTTACGGCATTTATTTCTGTAAGTGTTCTTCCCCGTGGACAACACTTAAGGTTACTGGGAAAATATTTTTCTTTTTGGCTTGGAAAAAGTGTGTAGTAAAAACTAGAATCTGTTTTAGGTTAATCATGCAGTAAGATGATTTAAAAAATGAGGAAAAGAACTACAGAGTTCATCTTGCTTCTCTCAAAGGATTAGGAAGATTTCTCTGGTAGTCTAAGGGAAGAGATTAAAAAGAAGCTTATTCAAATGCGTTTCCTGGTTTGATCTTGTGTGCAGTCTCTTAAGTGGCTAGGTGGAACTTACTAGCCTCTCACAGCTTGTTTTTTAAGGACTTAGGTCATGCTTTCCCCTCCTTAACATTTTATGTCAAGTTGTAGTTTGAAGCTAAATATTTTTTATTTTCTGTTCAGAAGGTAATCTTTAAAGATTTCCTGAGAAAGGTACTGTACTAAAATAATCTTTGAAAATAGAGCTCTAGCAAAGGATATATTTCTGTAGTGTTCACATATCACACTCAAGAATGAGTTAATGAGAATGGGAAGTGAATTTCAGTAGAAGCTTTGGAAACTCTGAAAACTTGCTTAAATATAAATTCTGTAGGCAAAGAGGAAGAGGAGAGAGGAAACCTTGGGCAGGAGCAGGAGGAATATGCTCTGAGTATAAGGCAGATTCTGGAGTTAGGAACAAAATGAGACTGTGACTGGTAGGAGGTACTTATATTTTCCCCTTCCCAGTAAGCAGTTATTTAAGAGTTGGAGCATATGTTTTGCTGGAAGAGAGAAAAGAAGTTAATAGACTGATGTTTGAGCTCTCCACCTGTAAATAGGATCTGCATACAAATCTGTCTTGGCTTAATTAAGATGGAAATGTTTTTGTAGCTTAAAGCTGATGTTGTAAAATCAAGATGATAAAGCTGCTAAACTTATAATACCAGAACTATGTGTTTAGGGTCACAGCAGGGGGGGAAAAAAGTGTCAAACCCTTTTTTTTCTCTTCAGCTATTACCATTCTTCACCTCATGGGGGTGCTACTGATGCAGTGTTTGAATAAAGGTTACTTCAGACCTTTCTGTTTCAAGTCTTAACAGTGGATTTCTTTGGGGTTTTTTTTTTGCTGTTTAACAGAGTGGAACGATGTCAAAACTATCAAAATTTGAAATCGAGTTACCTGCAGCACCCAAGTCCTCCAAGCTCAGCCTTTCTGAAAGAGATATTGCTATGGCTACAATGTATGTATCTAACTAATCAAGCCTTTCTTGGAAAAGTATGACCCTTAGGGGATGCTGAGAAAAGACAAGAACATTAGCATGGTTGCCCTCGTTTCTTGGTTTAGCAGTACTACTGCTTTAAACCTGGAACAAAGCATCTAAACAATTCTGTCAGGGCAAGGTGGGAAGGGGAAGCTAACTGAGAAGTCTTACATGAAATCATTCCTGATTAGTACAGAAATTTTGAGAATACCAACACATCAGTTCAAAAATTAAGCAGAGTTGTTCTTAGATGCCTAAGTTGCATGAGTACAGGCCATGCATTGTGATTTATCGAGTGCTGTTTTAGCCTTTCACTTTTTAATTAATTGATTCCTTGACTTGGGTAATCTCACATCTGTTATTTTAGGATAAAACGTATAGCTCTACCAGACTGGTAGAGCTCTTGTTTGAAAATAATGCTTTAATCCTGTTGTCTTGTTAGATACGGGCAGCTTTATGTCCTCTACTTGAGGCATCACTCAAGGACTTCCAATAGCACAGGAGCAGAAGTAGTCCTCTATCACTTACCAAGGTAAGAGCAGAATGAAGAATGTTAGTGGCAATTCACAAGTGTGTGAGGGACATCTGCTTTTCCAGTTTAAACAGGCTTGCTGACTGGTTCTTCTCATCTCTTATTTCTGTAGAGAGGGCTCCTGTAAGAAGACACATATTTTAAAGCTGAACAGAACTGGAAAGTTTGCACTGAATGTTGTGGATAACTTGGTGGTAGTACATCATCAGGATACTGAGGTGTGATATATTACATTGTACCTTCACTTTTAAAAGTTATGGGCAGATTTTAATAATGATGCCTTTAGCTCTAGAAAATATTTTTGCATGTGCTTAGCTTTGCCAAAAGCTGGAGTATTTGCAGGAACAAAACCATAAGGGTATAAGAGATTCAAAGTTACCCTTTTACCTTGTTGGGCTAACATTTAATTGGGGCTGTTGCTAATGCCTGGTTTTTTTCATAGACTTTTTTTCCTTCTTGTTAGTTTCCTATGATACTCTGCTGCTGCACTGCATAGGCATTATACAAAGAGGTAGAGTTAAATTGGATATGAAATTATTAATCCTGGGAACTTCTCATATCACATGCATTTGAATGCTATGTTTCTGTGACACAAACTTATGCTCCTTTGTTCTGAAGGCCCGGATCTGCAAAAACTTCTATGAATACAAATGATCTTATGCATATGGTAGCGCAGGTAAAACTTGCTTGTCTGTAGTCTCAGTAGCAAGGCTTGATCAGTGTTAAAGCTGAAGTGGTACTTTGCTCTTAACTTGTGGAAAAGCTTTGGCTTCTTGTATTACCTTCTCTTGGGCAGCTTCAAGAACTGGGGCACATTATCTCATTAAGATGATTAGTTGATGCTTCAGTTACAATTTATGTTAATTCTACATATTAGCATTTAACCCAGAGGACTCATTCTTCAGCATTTTGGTCAAGCTATAAACATGACTACATAAACACAGAAAACAAGAGCAGACTCAATAGGGTAGACACCAGTAATTGAAGTCACGTTTCATTAGCACTGAAGGTGAAGCTAAGTTTCACTGTGCAAGGGTAAGAACGTGCTCCATACTGGGTAGAAGCGTTAGTGACCCGAGCTGAACAAGACTGAGTGTTACAAGTATGAGGATATCAAAGGAAGATGTAGAATTTTCCTCACAGTTTCTAGGACCCATAACTAAGCAGTGTATTTGGCATGAATCTCTCTCTTACACACCCCCTCCTTATAAGACAGACAGAGAGAGGCTTTTTACCAGGGCCTGTAGTGACAGTTAAAGGGGCAATGGTTTTAAACTGAAGCAGGGTAGATTTTGATTGAAGAAAGAAATTTTTTACAGTGAGAATGATGAGACCCTGGAACAGAGTGCCCAGGGAAATTGTGAATGCCCCATCATTGGGGTCCTGGTGGACAGGAAGCTGAATACGAGTGAGCAGTGTGCTGCTACAGCCGAGAAGGCCAATAGGATGCTGGGGTGCATCAAAAAGGGCATCACCAGTGGGGATAAAGAAGTCATTATCCCACTCTACTCAGCACTTACCAGGCCACACCTGGAATACTGTGTGCAGTTTTGGTCCCCGCTATACAAAAAAGATGTGGACAGGCTGGAGGGGTCCTAGAGAAGGGCCACCAAGATGATCAAAGGACTGGGAAGCCTGGCATATGAGGACAGGCTGAGAGAATTGGGTTTTGTTCAGCCTTGAGAAAAGGAGGCTTAAAGGGGATCTCACCACCATGTACCAGTACCTAAGGGGTAGCTATAAGGAAGATGGAGACTCCCTTTCATAAGGAGTCACATGGGAAGGACAAGGGGGAATAGACACAAGTTGCTCTTGGGGACATTCCAATTGGACATGAGAGGGGAATTTTTCACAATGGGACCAGTCAACCATTAGAATAATTTCCCCAGGGAAGTGGTTGACTCTGCCACATTGGACACTTTTAAGACTCAGCTGGACAGGGTGTTGGGCCATCTTGTCTAGACTGTGCTTGTACATAGAAAGGTTGAACCAGATGATCCTTGAGGTCCCTTCCAACCTAGGATTCAATGATTCTATGGAAGTGTTCAAGGCCATGTCAGA